CTGAGAAAGTTTTTAAAAATTTACTCAACATGCTTAGTTTTTGGCACATATGAAAAGACTATTAAAATAACTTGCCTCATATAGAGAATTCTGTAATTCCTTAATTTACTTTTGTCTTTTGAAGTTTGTATTCTTTTAAATTTATAACTGCTTTGTTTATATAGGTTTTTTGCATATTTTCATCATAATTTAAAAAATAGTTTCTATGTGGCTTGTACTTGAGATGTATAATATTAGAACAAAACTTATCCTGATAGATTTACTTTTAAAATCAATTTAATTTATTCTTTTTCTTCTTTTATCATCTTTTAATGGTAACACTTGGTGCATACAAAAGAATATATGTAAGTTTTGAAGAAAAATCACGTAATGAATATCATTGACTATTTGCTAAGAAGTTGATTGTCAATTTATTTGCTTTTCTATACCTCAGGACATCTTTCTTTTTATTTAGGGTTCTTTTCTGATCTTCTTTTTCTCTTCAGTGTTTTGTTTCTTCTTTGTTTGTTTGTTTAATATAGGTTTATTTTTAATTATCCAGTTTGGAGTCTTTGGGCTTCTTAGGTGTGAGGCTTAATATCTTTTGGCAATTCTGTAAAATTCTCAGCCACTTTTTTCTTTATTTCTTTTTTTTGGGCTGTATCTGGTCTTAGTTGCATCATGCGGGTTCTTTGTTGTAGTGCGCGGGCTTCTCTCTAGTTGTGGCATGTGGGTTTTTCACTCTGTAGCTGTGGTGCATGGGCTTCACGGCATGTGGGCTCTGTAGTTGTGGTGTGTGGGCTCTCTTGTTGAGGCATGAGAGCTTAGTAGTTGTCACGCACGGCCTTAGTTGCCCCGTGGCATGTGGGATCTTAGTTCCCTGACCAGGTATCGAACCTGCATCCCCTGCATTGGAGGATGGATACTTTACCACTGGACCACCAGGGAAGTCCCTCAGCCATTATTTTTTAACAATATTACCTCTTCTCATTCCTTAGTAACTCATTCTGGAATCTAATTAGGTATATGTTTGTTCTTCTTACTCAGGCCTCATATCTCTTAACATCATTTTAACTGTTTTCTCTCATTTTTCTATCTCAGATACATTCTAAATTATCTTATTGTGTTTCTTCTATTTTATTAATTTTCTCTTCAGCTATGTCTAATCTGCTATTTAACCTGTCCAATGAGTTTTTTACTTCAAAAACTAAATCTATCATTTCTGTAATTTCCATTTTTATTTAAAATGTGTCCTTTGCTATTACTTTCTCATTGTTTGTTCCCCTTCATGATTGCATACTTTTGTATTTTAAACATTTTCTACATAGCTGTTTTTTTAAAAAATATTTATTTGGTTGCATTGGGTCTTAGTTGCGGCAGGTGGGCTCCTTAGTTGCGGCTTGCCAGCTCCTTAGTTGTGGCTCGCCAGCTCTTTAGTTGTGGAGTGCGAACTCTTAGTTGTGACATGCATGTGGGATCTAGTTTCTGGACCAGGGATTGAACCCAGGTCCCCTGCCTTGGGAGCGTGGAGTCTTAACCACTGCGCCACCAGCGAAGTCCCCATAGCTGTTTTTCTGTATTCAAATATCTTCAGTGCTTGAAAGTCTAAACTTGTTTGTTCTTTTTTCTGGCTCTTGCTCACTTGCCTTCTGCAGTGCTTGCTGATTTTTTTTGTTATGGAACTCATTCACAGATCTTAATTTGTGGCTGTTATGTTACAATGAATTGGAGACATCTCTCAAAGAGAAAAATTTATTCTGCATTTTGCTAGTGGCTATAAGGATATTCCTCAGCAAGAAAATCTAAAGCTCATCTACCTCTCTTTTCTGTTGTCCCCATTTTGAGAATCCCAGTTATATTCTCCCTCATGTCACCTGCACCTGTTTTTTAATGTTCCCTTTTCGAAAGTCTTTTTGGTAATTATTTTGGTGTTTACGTCCATGTTTTTAAATAACTTGGCTTCTCTTGCTCTTTTTTTTTTTTTTTTTTTGCATACACGGGCCTCTCACTGTTGTGGCCTCTCCCGTTGCGGAGCACAGGCTCTGGAAGCGCAGGCTCAGCGGCCATGGCTCACAGGCCCAGCCACTCCGTGGCATGTGGGATCTTCCCAGACCAGGGCATGAACCCATGTCCCCTGCATCGGCAGGCGGACTCTCAACCACTGCACCACCAGGGAAGCCCTCTTGCTCTTTCTTGATTGTTCATTTTACAGCATTATTCATTGCTATCTTACTGTGGAAAATGATAATTGGCTAACTTTTACCCTCTTCAGCGCCCATCACACATTCCTCTTATGTACCTATACCCCCAGTAATCAAATGTATGATATTGTTGTATTATACATTTGATTAATCAATGAATTCATTTTTTTCAGAATTTTCATAGTTCTGTCTGTAGATATTATTCATGGTATGGTCATGTTTATCCTATGGTTAGTTATCCTTTTCTTTATAACATTTGTTTTTCCTGTATTTATTAATTGTTTGTTGTTTCTAAGTTTTCCATATACTTGTCACTAATTCACTATTGTCATCCTGGGTCACTTTTTTCCTGTGTTGGATCCTTTGTCTTCTGGATCCCAAAGTTTTTTTCTTGTGGTAATTCCTTCTTTTGATGAAATACATTCTTTATTGTTAACCACGTATTATTTTGGTGTCTTTAATATTTATGTGATATTAATTATAAAATATTGTGGGCTCATGTGACAGCAAGCAGTTCATAGTAATTTAAATCTAAATGTAATTTTATTTCTGTATATGGATTTTAGAAAAGTCTTTTAACTTTTATGATTGAATTATGTATTCTTGAATTTAAATGAATTTTTGAACTCTATTTAAATGTGTTCAACACATTTCTTTAAAATAAAAAGGATTTGATTAATAGTGTTTCATATTTCAGGCCAAATTCTGTTTCTCACCTAGTAACATATTTTGATAGAATGAGTTGTTTAAAACAAGAACACTATTCAAATTAGCTCTTGCTATATATACTCATATATCTAGATACTATATTTTTGTTAGTTTGTGGAGTTGATAGTCTCTGGCATAGTAGAGCTGTTAGAATTATTTGAAAACTGGATATAATTTTGGGAGTCTTATTTTATTTTCCTTAATATAATATAGCATGTTAAGCCTTTATTCTGTATATTAGTGGTATTTGAGAAATAGGAGAATTTAGGTTCTTATGAGGAATCTGCATTCTGTTACAGGAAAAAATATATATTAAATTGTATTTTCCAATTGACTTCAGTTATCATCCCCTCGTTTTGCAGTCATCTTGTATTTAGCTTCTCCCCATCATTCCTTTCTGATACGTGTATTTGAGTGAATCATTGCTCACTAGCACATGCTTTGTTACATGGAAGGAGGGATTGCTTATGTTGTCTCAGCATGTTGCCTAGGAATCTATACCGATTTGGGGTTCCTGGGAGAAGTAGCAATGTAAAGTAGAACAGGAGTACACATGGCAAATTTCATATGAAAATTCTGTGCAAAGCTTTGAAAAAGGAGGAAATTTCTCTTTTGCTTGCTTTGTCTCCTCCATCCTTGTATCTCAGTCTCTTTGTGGTTCACTTTTCATAGGACTTGGTATTAATACTAATTGTACTAGCTGTTTTAATTATCTGCAATATTATAGAACAAATGGGCTTTTTTCAACTAACCTGAGAATCTGTCTACCATTTATTGTGATTCTTTTTTCAGCTCCTACTACGTGGAAGGTACTTTTTCAGATGCTGGAGATACAGTTGAGAGCAAAGCTGACTAATACCCCTTCCTTCATATTCTGTACATCCTAGTGGAGCTAATACTATTTTTATCAAAAAATATATGTAGAAATGCAGAATCTTATTTACAGATATACATGACCTGCCCCACATAAATTAAGAATGGGATATCCTGCTTTAGTTAAGTTTATGTGAGCTACTTTTTATTAGAGAGGGACAAAAATGTTTTAGTTAGTAGGATGGAATTGCAACTTGTTACACTTCAGTCTTTGTGTTTCATGTCAGAATGTTAGCCTGCATTTCATCTAGGCAGCTCTCTCTCTTTGCTTCTGAACATTTAAAGCTGTAATTTACAGTGATTTATTAAGTGGTTATAATAATGCTTCCTTTAATATCATGAGTTAGTTCTGTAATATAACCAAAAAAGGGAGATAATATTCCCTTCTCATGGCCAATATAGAAATTGCTGTTTGCCTAAAAGATAAACTTTATTATTATTTTTAAAGGCAAATGCACATTTAATGAGATATAATTCACATTCCATAAAGTACATTATTTTAAAGTGTATAATTTAGTGGGTTTTAGTATATTTGTAAGGTTGTACAGCAATCACCATTTTCTAATTACAGAACATTTTCATCATTCCCAAAAGAACCATATATCTACTAGCAGTTATTTCCCATTCTTTCCTCCCCCCAGGCCCCAGCATCCACTGATCTACTTTTTTCTTCATGGTTTTGCCTGTTCTGGCTATTTCATGTAAGCGGAATCGTATAATACGTGGTTTTCTGTAACTGGCTTGTTTCACTTAGCATGTTTTCAAGGCTTATCCATGTTATAGCATGTATCAGTACTTCATTCCTTTTCATGGATAAATCGTTTTCCATTGTGTGATTCTGCTACATTTTGCTAATCCATTCAGCAATTCATCATGGACATTCATGTTTTCCCACTCTTCGGCTATTGTGAATAATGCTGCTATGAAAATTTGTGTACAAGTGTTTGCGTGGATATTTGATTACAGTTCTTTTGGTATATACCTAGGAATAGAATTGTTGGGTCATATTGTAACTGTATATTTTGCTTTCTGAGGAAATGCCAGACTGTTTTCCATATTATTTGCACTATTTTATGTTGCCACCAGCAATGTATGAAGGTTTGAATTCCTCCACATCCGTGGCAACACTTAACTGTTGTTCATCTTTTTTATTATGGCTCTCCTACTTATTGGTGTAAAGTGACATCAAGCTTATTATTTTTAGGAGGAATGTAACAATTTAAAAATCTTGTTTTTTAGGTGCTGTACTTCTTTGTAATGTACAAGGACTAGCAGTTAATATTGACCCTATCTTATACACCTGGCTTATTTATCAACCTCAGAAGCGAACCAGTAAACATATGCAGCAGGTGAGAAAGTTTTATAATTCTCTAAATATTTTTTTTTCTTATTTGTTAGAGTTATATATTTCTTCTGTTGATTTTATTTATGGAGGTACCAGAATTCTTCTACCCCTTTCAAGCAATTCTACTCTTTAATTTCTGTACAAGAAATTACAGTTCAAAGTAGAGTTGCATTGATTGTTAAAGGGACTTGGTCTACAATTGCTTGCAAAGCAGATACTTTAGAGAGTCTAGGTTAGGTAGTCCTATTTTACTGGCTTATTTTCCCTCATAGTCCCTGCATGTTTGTTCTCAGAGTGTCCAATACATAATAATTGCTTAGAAAATGTTAGCTTTCATTTTCATTATCTCTACATTTCTTCTTCATCTGTAGGTTTATTCAACAAACATGCATTGAGTGTGCCTAACTCGGTATTGGGATGGTTGGTGCAAAAGAGTTGGGATATGTGTGTGTTTAAAGGGGTCTAAATTACAAAGCAAAAGGAGCTAATTATAGTCCCCTGAATACTTACGTGTAATTCTGACAGATGGGTTTTATTATTCGCATTTTAAAGATGAAGAAACATGCTTATTGAGATTAACTTACCTATTTTCACACATCTAGTATATCTCAGAACTAAGAATTTTTTTTTTTACATCTTTTTTTTTTTTTTTTTTTTTGCTGTACACGGGCTTCTCACTGTTGTGGCCTCTCCCGCCGCGGAGCACAGGCTCTGGACGCGCAGGCTCAGCGGCCATGGCTCACGGGCCTAGCTGCTCTGCGGCATGTGGGATCCTCCCGGACTGGGGCACGAACCCGCGTCCCCTGCATCGGCAGGCAGACCCTCAACCACTGCGCCACCAGGGAAGCCCTTTTTTACATCTCTATTGGCGTATAATTGCTTTACAATGGTGTGTTAGTTTCTGCTTTATAACAGAGTGAATCAGTTATACATATACATATGTTCCCATATCTCTTCCCTCTAGAACTAAGAATTTTTGAGGCCAAATTTATGTGCTATTGAATTGCATTTTCCCATTGACTTAATTGTAATTTTGTAACATTCTACTTGGAATAGCTTTGTATTTTTTTTCTGAGGTAACTTAAAGCTAATTTATAGGAGAAAAGTGTATAATTTTATATTTACATAAGAATATAAAAATTAACTAAAAAAGTGCAACCCGTGTCTCAAGGAGCATCTTTTTAAAAGTTTTTCTTCATTTTGTCCTAATTTCATTTGAAACTTCTGCCATCCCTTCGCCATTTCATGCTTCCTTTTATCAAATACATACAGAATACAGTGCAGTATTCTAGGTACTGGGGCTATAGAAACAGAAATCGTGGTTGAGAATATCCCTTCCTCTAGAGGTATTTAGTGTATTTGAGAATGTGAAGGAATGTAGTAGTAATGCCATTCTTGGTACCTCCCTTGGTATCCATAGGGGATTGGTTCCAGCCTTCCCTCCCCTGTGGATACCAAAATCCACGATGCTTAGGTCCCTTGGTGTAGTACAGTTGGCCCTCTGTATCCTCGGGTTCCAGATGAACAGAGGGCTGACTGTAATTGCTATGTTAGATGTATTTACAGGAGTATATGAAAACATAAAAGGAAACATTCTCATGATCAGGTGAGGATGGGTGTTAGAAGGAGGAATTGACAATTGAGCTGAGCGTCATAAAAGTAAGCCAGACAAGGAAGGTTGTTCTAGACTAAACTGTGAGCAGAGGCAAAGACGATGGAGTAACTTGGCAAGAAAGGGACCTTCAGTGTTTCCAGGCTAGAGCCAAGTGTTCTTATAGACACTGGTAGAAATTGAAAACCAATTCATAAAAGATTTTATTTGTAATGGTAAGTGTTTGAGACTTTATCCCAAAGGGTACAGAGGAAGTATAGGAAACTAATATAAATAGACTTGGATTTTAGAAAGTTTAACAAAATATGGAGTATGAGTAATGGAGAAGTTAAGACTAATGGCAGGGACAATTTGAGAAAAATTTAATTGTAAATTTTTTTTCTTACTGAGATATAATCGACATATAACAGTATATTAATTTCAGGTAGCAACATAACAATCCAATATTTGTATATATTGCAGAATCACCACAATAAGTCTAGTTAACATCCATCACCACACATAGTTAAATAATTTTTTCCCTTGTGACGAGAAAATATTTACTCTCCTAGTAACTTGCAGATATACAATACATATTATTAACAATAGTCATCATATCGTACACTACGTTTTATGACTGGAAGTTAGTACTTTGCCTTTACCCATTACACACACCCCTCCCCCAATCTCCCTGTCTCTGGCAAACACCCTCTCTTCTCTGTATGTAGAATTTGATGTTTTGGGTTTTTTGGGTTTTGTTTTGTTTAGATTCCACATATAAATGTGGTATTTGTCTTTCTTTGTCTGACTCAGCAGAATGGCCTCAAGGTCCATCCATGTTGTCACAAATAGCAAGATTTTCTTATTTTTTAGGGCTGAATAATATTTCATTGTATTATAAATTTTTCATTGGTTATTTTATAAGTGATGCAGTTATCTCCAGTACACCATAGATATCCCTGAATGTCAGGTAGCGTTCTAGTAGCTTAAGTAAATTATACATTTGTTTGATTGATACAAGTACCTTCAAAGATTTTGATTTTTTATTTTATTTTTATTATATTGTTTCATAAGTATTTTTAAGTTAAATATAAATATTTCTCTAAGTTCAAAACTAGTAGTTTCATTTAAAAGATAAACAAATAAATACCCATAATCCTAATCATTCAGTTACAAATAATATTGGGATAAATATCTTCATATTTGCATTTTTCTTTAATTATTAACTTAGGATATATTTTTAGAAGTGTAACTAGTAACTTTAGGCATGTGGTTTAGCATATTTTAAGGCCTTTGTAATATTGCCAGTTTGCTTCCAGAATTGGTGTACAGTTTATATTTTCATCAGCACTTTATAGTATTACTATTTTGCTACAGTTCAGCATATCTCAAAAATATGCTTTAAAAATGCCTTTAATCTACTATTTCAGTTCTACATTTTCTCCAACATGGAAAATTGAGAGTATAGTTGAACCCTATGACCTTATTGCCCAGTTTCAACACCTATCAACCCATAACTAATCACCTTCACTTTTAAAATCTGTTGTGTGAAAAAAGGCTAGTATTCAGTAGTGGTGAAAATGTAGAAAATGGATGGACTCGTATATTACTGTTGTGAGTGAAAATTAATAAATTTGTCAGTGTCTAATAAAATTACACATGACCGTAGCCTGTGACCCCAAAATTCCACTTTTTGATAGAGCTGTGTTCTTACAGTGACATTCATATGAGCCTAAGGAGTCATGTATAAGCCTGTCCTTGCAGAATTCTTTGCAATGGTGTAAAATTGGAGACAACCTAAATGACTGTCTCTAACGAAGCAGATAAATAAAGCATGGCACGTTAACATGATGTATTATTTTTTTGTTAAAAATTATTCAATAGGTTTTAGTATGGAAGTCTCAAAATTCTATTTAATGCAAAAATCAATTTCCCAAGGACATATGCAATATGAGAGTACTTATATTTTTCCCAAACCACCCTGCATATATTACATATTATATATTATCTATTATATATCACATATTATATATAGTATACATTATATATAAACTATATATATGGCATATGTGTAAGTAAATATGGGTGTAAAAAATTAAAGGATTGTATCAACATAATAGTGATTGACTCTGGGAGGAATGGGCAGTTAGCAATCAGAGGGGATTTTAGCTTTATCTGTAATATTTTACTTTTCTCCTTAAAAAAAGCAAATATGATAAATTGTTAATTGCCAGTAATTATTGGTTATAATGAAAATATGGATGTTCTTTTATTCTTCATAATTTCCTATATTTTTACATTTATTAAATTAATAATAAAGGAAAATTTTATAGGAAGAGGGACAAAAGTCTTTTTAGGTATTTGGGGACCACGGGACATTGATGGGGCAACAATAGGACAGATATGGGACTAGGGTACAATGGAAATTTGGGGGAATATCCCGTACCAGAAGGCAGAAGAATATAAGCAGAGCAACAGGCGGTTGCTAAAAATAAATGCTCCTTCTTTTGATATTTTTGACTGGGGTATTCATATTTCCAAAAACGCACCAGGGAAGCCCTAGAAAGGGTTTTTATTTGGCCTTTTACTGTATTTTTACCCATGTGAAAATGCACCCAGAGTCTCAACCACCAAAAGAAAGATTTTTTTCTTTGTTTGTTGTTGGGTATTTCCAATATCATAGCTTCCATCAATCTCATCTTTCACCTATTGTGCGTGAATTAAATATCACACTATACAGCACGGAATGTTTCTGTAATCACATATTATATATTAATTTTGGTTCTAAACTTGGTCCTAACTTCTTTGAGTGCTTCATCAATTCCAGGTTTGTAAATGATGTCCAGGAAATTCAAGGGATTATGGAATCACTAAGCGTTAGAGCACAAAGGGATTTTCTAGTAGACATCTCCACCCCCTTGTTTTATAGATGAGCAAGTTTAAATTAGACTCAGCATTTCTTATCTAGCTCTTAAATATTATTTCCTATTTAGATTTGTAAAAATATTATCAGTTTGACTAAATACTTAACATGAAAGCAGATATTCTTCATTGTGATGTTTCCCACAATATATTTAATCTTTCATTTTCTCATTATCAGTTTTCTTGTCCTTTTACTCACCCTAGGGAACAACTTGTAAAATAATTTGGCTTTTTTTCCATTATATTATATGGTTATATAATGTACCTATGTTCTCATTGAAATATTTATTCATAATTTAAATAATATTAAATAGTTACCATAAGTTGGGTGAAACTTAAAGTTGGATCTATAAAAGTGTGGATGTTGTAGTGTTGAGGGTAACATTAGACCACACTCCAGCCTAACCAACCCCCTTCAGATTCACCATCTGATGCAGCTGTATCACAGTTATCATCTGTTGTTTCCCAAGCTGCAATTTCCTCCTCAATTTGTGGCTAAAACCCAACATTTGATGATTGTTTTCCACTCAGTTCAACATTGATCTTTGATCCTGAAGAAAACTTAAAAATAACTTTTTTTTTTTTGGCCAAAAATCTGACAAGATTGTATTGGGCGTCATCAGCAGTAACATCAGACTTTATTTCAGTGAATAAAGATGAAACAGCTGCTTTATTGTCCAGCTCAGCACTCATGCATTCAATATAGGATCGTAATGTTTTCCAGCTTTCTCTAACCATAGATATTTTTCTGTGCTTTCTAAATATGCTGTGGATATCACTTTGTCAGATGCAATATAGAGATTTTCAGCAATTCTCAAAAAAAATTGGATTGTCCATATTAACATGTACCTGATCAGTTTATAGAAGTACTTCCCTAAAATATCATTTTATAAGGATAACTTTATTTACTAGTGATAATTTTCAAAGTTAATTTTAGTTTTGATTTGCCTCTAACATGTTACCTTTATACTTCTTACTAAAATTTATGTTAAATTTTAATTAATTCCAAGCTCTCTTGGTTTTTGCACAGAATTCTAATTTAAAATTGAAATTGTTAAATGTTCCTGTGTGAGTGTGTGTGAGAGACAGTGACCAAGAGGGAGGGCAAGAGAGATTGACTGATTCATTGATTTAAAATAATAAAGCCCCATGTATAGCATGGGGTATGTAGTCAATTATAATATCTTTGTGTGGTGACAGATGATAACTAGACATATCATGGTGATCATTTTGTAATGTACAGAAATATCAAATCACTGTGTCATGCACTTGGAACTCACATAAAGATGTACCTCAATTATACCTCAATTGAAAATAAAATATGTAGACACTGGGGGAAAATTTATCAAAATGCTAATGATGGTTATCTCTGGGTGGGTGGGGATTATGGGTGATTATTAATTAAAAATGAATAAAGCCTCAACCACAACATGCAATGGACTTTCTTCAATGATGCTGTGTTTAACCTTCTCTGCTTAAGAAATAGTAAATAATTCAGTTTTTCATTTGACTCTCTCCAGCAGCCTGTGATAGCTGTTCCTCTTGTTATGCCAATTAGCAGAAGGAAGGAGGATGAGGTGTCTGTTGGAAGTGCACCCTTGGCAAAGCAACAATCATATCAGGCCTCTGAATATGCCAGCAGCCCTATAAAAACAAAAACAATAACAGGTATGTGTCAAGAATTCTAAAGGGTCTGTGATTTCACCCTACCTCTAAGCTAAGAAGTTATCCAGGCCATAATTTCATGAATGCTGCCTAGAGATACAAGAATCCTGGAATGGAGACAAAGGACTTTATTATCTATAGCATTAGCAGTTACCGAAGTATTAGCATTTTTTTGTGTGCCTGCCCTAAGCCTAATTCCTACAGGATGGCACGAAGAGGGCCAAGTGATACCTGTATACAGTGGATTATATTACAGGAGAGGAACCTGAACTTTATAATGGGTAGAAATTATGCCTGCCATTTTCTCTGGTGGGAGGCCCTATATGTACCTTACAAGACTGTAAGCAAACCTGCTCTTTGTTCAGAAGGAGGACAATATCTTTGTCTTCTGAGGCTGTACACTGTACAGATATCCGTGAAAATGGCATTGGAAACAAAGGCACTGACTGCCTCTACTTGTAAGACAGGCAAAAACACAAGAGACCCATGGAAAATCATCTCCCAATAATATCATTATGTTCCTTCTTAAAGTGAATTCTTGCAATCCACCCTACATCTCAGTCTTCTTTCCTTCCCCCTTCTATTTGTTAGCTAGATCACCTATGCAAATATAAAACATATTCTTCCATAAAACAATTTCTTTTATTTCCTTTTGTGTAATTAAAAACCCACTTTTTTATTGTTTTATTTATTAAAAAAATTTTTTTAACATCTTTATTGGAGTATAATTGCTTTACAATGGTGTGTTAGTTTCTGCTTTATAACAAAGTGAATCAGTTATACATATGCATATGTCCCCATATCTCTTCTCTCTTTTGTCTCCCTCCCTCCCGCCCTCCCTATCCCACCCCTCTAGGTGGTCACAAAGCACCTAGCTGATCTCCCTGTACTATGCGGCCGCTTCCCATTAGCTATCTATTTTACGTTTGGTAGTGTATATATGTCCATGCCACTCTCTCACATTGTCACAGCTTACCCTTCTCCCTCCCCATATTCTTAAGTCCATTCTCTAGTAGGTCTGTGTCTTTATTCCTGTCTTGCCCTTAGGTTCTTCATGACCATTTTTTTTTCTTAGATTCCATATATATGTGTTAGCGTATGTATTTGTTTTTCTCTTTCTGACTTGCTTCACTCTGTATGACAGACTCTAGATCCATCCACCTCACTACAAATAACTCAATTTTGTTTCCTTTTATGACTGAGTAATATTCCATTGTATATATGTGCCACATCTTCTTTATCCATTTATCTGTTGATGGACTAAGATCAGGAACAAGACAAGGTTGCCCACTCTCACCACTATTATTCAACATAGTTTTGGAAGTTTTAGCCACAGCAGTCAGAGAAGAAAAAGAAAGAAAAGGAATCCAAATCGGAAAAGAAGAAGTTATGATTTCATTTTAAGTAGTGTTTTAAATTTCTAATGTTTTCCCTTAGATATTCAGATTTATTCCATATAACTCATATATCCCCAACCATATTAAAAAAGGTTTTATATTTTCAGTAACTCGAAAACACTTACTGAATATCTATAATGGGCAAGACTCTGTAGTAAGTAATTTTGAGGGTAGGAATATTAATAAGACATGATCCCTGCCCTTAAGGAATTTAAAATATGATCATATACACAAGGAAGTTCAAGCTAACATTTGTGGTTTAGAAGAAAAGGTAGTTTCCTTACCATATTTATAAACAACAGCAGTAAAAATGCTAACATACATTTTTGTGGAGTTTTATACATAACTATTATTCTGTGTTCTATTACTTTTCTTAAAATAGGATGTTATGTTTATTTTGTGGAATCATTAGACTTCTACCTGTCAGTATCCACAAGCCTTTTGATATGTTGAGATTTTCTTTACCAATTGATAAAAATGCTTTTGCTTATTTTTTGTATTATAGGAGGATGACCTGTAACTTGTATTGATTTTTTAATATAAAATTAGATATTTCCTTTCAATACCATGCTAAGTTTCAGACTTTAGATCTCTTGAACTGGTAGGTTACATAATGGTTTATAAATATTACCTCTTAATAAGATAAAATAAATGTCCACTAAGTATCAATTGATAAAAATAAGTTTAATTTTATATGCGTATTAACCACATATTCTGACCTCCTGCTTTACTATTTAGTCCAGTTTTTTAAATCACACTTGATAATTGATGTAAAGTAATTGTTAAGGATGACTAAAGATGACAGAAAATACTTATCATTTAAATGAAATTACATGACAGAACTATGTAGAAAATATCATAGATTTTAGAATGCACTTGCTATGCATGGAGAAGTTTCATAGATAAATTCACATCTCTTATCGGTTACCTATCAATTCATGAATATCGGTTAATATCTGAGATTTATTTTGCTTTCATATACTTTCCCACTTAATTATAAGAAATTAATATTTTATTTTGAATAAATTAAGAAAAACCCCAAACATAATTTCTCACCAGTAATTATTACTTTATAATGTAAAAACATAAACACATTATTCTTTTTTAAAAATTTTATTTATTTAGTCTTTAAATTTTATTGGAGTATAGTTGATTTAAAATGTTATATTATTTTCAGGTGTACAGCATAGTGATTCAGTTATACATATACATATATTCATTCTTTTTTAGATTCTTTTCCCATATAGGTTATTACAGAATGTTGAGTACAGTTCCCTGTCCTATACAGTAGGTCCTTGTTGGTGTGTGTGTGTGTGTGTGTGTGTGTGTTAATCCCAAGCTCCTAATTTATCCCTCTCCCCCACATTTCCCCTTTGGTAATCATAAGTTTGTTTTTGAAATCTGTGAGTCTGTTTCTGTTTTGTAAATAAGTTCATTTATATCATTTTTCAAAATTAGATTCCACATATGAGTGATATCATATGATATTTGTCTTTGTCTGTCTGACTTACTTCACTCAGTATGATAATCTCCAGGTCCATCCATGTTGCTGCAAATGGCATTATTTTGTTCCTTTTTATGGCTAATATTCCATTTTAAATATGTACCACATCTTTATCTATTCCTTTATTGATGGACATTTAGGTTGTTTTCATGTCTTGTCTATTGTAAATAGACAATGAACATTGGGGTGCATGTATCTTTCCTAATTATGGTTTTCTCTGGATACATGCCCAGGAGTGGGATTGCTGGATCATATGGTATCACCTCACACTGGTCAGAATGGCCACCATGAAAAAGTCTACAAACAATAAATGCTGGAGAGGGTGTGGAGATAGGCGAACCCTGCTACACTGTTGGTGGGAATGTAAATTGGTACAGCCACTATGGAGAACAGTATGGAGGTTCCTTAAAAAACTAAAAATAGAAGTAATATAGGATCCAGCAAATAACACATTATTCTTTATTTCAAATTACAAATGTGAACTGTGGTTCTTTGCATTTGAGTTGTGGATATTTGCTTTTTCTGTCTTTAGTGTTTCCCCATCTCTAGAACCCTTAGGTTATATATCCTGTAGGTATTTTCCTTATAGGTGAGGATGTCTGTGTATCACCAGATATTTACTCAAGCAAGCATAACAATGAACAGTTATCAAATTGATGCCTGTGCTTGCTTGTTTTTGGACTGTGGGCATTTGTAGAAAGTAAAAATCCCTGGGTATAACATTTCTACTTTCTGACCAATGTATCTTTGCCCCTTGGATGCCACCATTTTCACTTCTTTGGAAAGCTTGTTGGTATTGTTCTCTCTTTTCTTGAGAATGCTCTGTACTAATCATTTTCTTTATTTAGAATTATGTTTCAAAATTTTCTGTTTTATATTTAATTAGAGTATACAGTTCCTGTTTTGGTTTTAATTTAAAAATGCTTTATGAGTCCTTTGAATTTGTATCTATTTCTAAATGTGGTTATCACTATTTTAATTATTACTTACATTGTATCATAAGCTATAATGAATTTGGTAAGGTATTCATAGCCTTTTACAAACCTTTTTTCTTGTTGTTTTTGTTTTACTTTTACCATCTTAACCTTTTTAAGTGTATAGTTCAGTTGTGTTAAGTATACAGATGGTCCCCAACTCATCATGGTTTGACTTACAGATTTTTGACTTTATGATGGTGTGAAAGCAATATGCATTCAGTAGAAGCCATACTTCGAATGTGAATTTTGATCTTTTCCCAGGCTAGCGATATGAGGTGGGATTCTCTGGTGATGCTGGGCAGGGGCAGTGAGCCACAGCTTTCAGTCAACCATGCAACCATGAGGGTAAACAACCAAAACACTCACAACCATACGACCAGTTTTTTTTTTTTACTCTCAGTACAATATTCAGTAAGTTACATGAGTTATTCAATTATATAGTATAAAATAGGCTTTGTGTTTGATAATTTTGCCCACCTGTAGGCTAATGTAAGTGTTCTGAGCACATTTAAGGTAGGCTAGGCTAAGCTCTGAAGTTCAGTAGGTTAGGTGTATTAAATGCATTTTCAACTTAAGATATTTTCACTTTGTGATGGGTTTATCAGGACATAACCCATTGTAAGTTGAGGAGGATGTGTATTCACATTGTTGTGAAATGCATGTTTTAATTTTTTAACTGAATTTTACAAGTGGAGAAATGTGTTAATTTATGCTTGAATTCTTATTAAAATATTTTTTAATTTTTACATTCTCAACCTAAGGTCCAAAGTTGGTCTTAAGTTCATCCCCAAGTTATATAGTAGTATTGGCACATGAAGACTGAGGCTTGGTGATATTGCACTGGGCTTGATTTTGCTTTTTAATTATTCATCAAGAAGCAGACATTCTCTTCCAATCTCAATTAACCAATCTTAAGTAGCTGGCTGCAGGGGGAACATGTGCTTGATGGCTGGAAATGTGTTGACAGCAGAACAGCACTGTTTCAGTGATGCAGGCACGTAGGGCAGGCCAAGCCAGAATAAAAGCATGTTTCACATGAAGATAATGTATTATCACAAAATTCTAAATGATCTTCTAGAGAATCTGTATATCCTTCAAAACAAGGAAACCACTAAAAACTATGAC